ACAAAAGCACCATAAATTTGCCTCCTAGTCCTAATTCTACTTCATCGTTACATTTAGTAATTATTTATCAGAATTTTTGATACATTTACTATTTTGACCAATTAGGTACTAATAATAGTCACAGAAATAACTTAGTCCAGGGTACATTTTAAACACTTCAAACACTGGGGTGAGAGAAAATTGTAAAAGGTAATTCTGATTTATATACATTTTTGCTGTCAAGAAATGTGGCACAGTTATCAATAAAAGACTTGAAAATAGTACTTGCTATACTACTACCCATTAGGGTAAAATTTCGTTGGAGAATGGGAATGTAAATATGATTTGAAAGAGAGAAAGAAATAGTAAAAATGTTGAACATTAAAATTTGTTCTTGAAAAATGAACATTTTTAGTATCAAATCACTACAGTATTTAAATTCCTCTGGATACATTTAGATATATTTTTTAAAAGTAATGCAAAAAAGTAATATGAGTTTATAGTTTACAATGTTAATATTTATACCAAATATTACATCCTTTATTTTAATAGGACAAAATTTCCAATATTTAGTGTTAGATATGTTTCACAAATCTTTTATGTTCTATACAAGAAAAAAAAAGATTTGAGGATCTGTTTCCTAGAGAAACATTTAAAACACATAAACCAGGTCATCTACACAAGAATATTCACAGTAAATGTCTATTAATAAGACGGGTAAATTATACCTACTATGGATAACTATATAACAATGGATTCTGGATAAAAATGAAAAATAAAAAACGACAGCTTTATGCAAAAATGCAATGAATCTTTTAAATTTACTGTTAAGTCAAAATAGCAAAAGACAAAAAATTCCATTTTCACTTGTATTGATAACCAAGCAAAACTAAACTATATTGCCTGGAAACAAGTGATGGATTTTATCATCCTTCTAAGAATCCTCTCCTCTTTCTCCTCCAGAGGATTACAAAGTGTCCTATGACTTGCACTGTTTCCCTGTGGAATTTCTATTCCCTATCCTTTAACTTTGGCTTTGCCATGTGACATGGCTGAGCCAATGATATGAACAGACATGATGCTTGTCACACTTAATCAGAGGCCACAGGAGCTTCCATCAAATCTCCTGCTTTTTTGTGTTTCAAAAAGAACTTTTCTTTCTACCTGGATCCTGGAATGAAGAGAAATGAACCATTAGTCATCAATGATGAAAGAAATATGTATTTGTTTTCATAAGCGAGTCAACAGAGAGGGAAGAGGCTATGATCTGGAAGAGGTGTGTGAAGGGAGGGAGGTTTGGAGTACTGGTATTGTTCCATTGTTCTAATTATTGATTTGAGTAGTGGTTACTGGAGTGGTTATTTATAATCATTAAACTATTTAAATAACTTATTCACCTTTCTGTATTTCCATTTACCCATAAGAAATGTAAAAAAGCAAAAGAAAAATTAATAAGCATTTATGATTGCTCTCTAATCCATTTCTGATATAAATTACTTTACATTCTCCTACCATTATTTAAGTATCACCAAGAGATACTACCAAAAGACGGTAGTAAAATCAATTCTTTTATCCTCAGAAAATGTATTATGGAATTTCTAAAATGTTTACACAAAACCCCTGCATACACACCAATATAGTTGGCCTATCATGTCTGCAAATTCTGCATCTACAGATTCAATCGGGTGCAGTTCAAAAATATTTTAAAAGAAGTTACATTGTTGCTGGCCTGTGCTATCTTGTTAGGCCTACAATAGTTGCATTATCTGTACTGAACACTAGAAATGTTTTTGTTATTCTTCCCTAAATAACAATTCTTTGAGTTTTGTTTGTTTGTATTGTTTTTTAAAGACATGGTCTTGCTATGAAGTTCAGGCTGGCCTTAAACTCCCTATGTAGCCCAGGCTGGCCTCAAACTTACGGTATCCTCCTGCTTCAGCCTCCCCAGTGCTGGGATTATAGGTGTGTGCCACCACGCTTGCTTGGTTTAACAATTCATTACATAGCATTTATATTTCATTATGAATCATAGGTAATCTATATTACTTAAAAGTCTAAGGGAAGATATGCATAGGTTATATACAAACACTATACCATTTAATATAAGGGACTTGGGCACTCTCAGATTTTGGTATCTGTAGTAAGTCCTCAGGAACTAGTTTCTTAAGAATACCTAGGGATGACTGTAAATAAAATCCACTAATGACACAATCCTTTTCTTGCTTTTTAATTCATTTCACTCAACAAATATGGATTTTCTTATAAGAAAATAAACACAACCCTCCCTATTATTAAACTGATAGTAAATAAATTTATACATATAATGAATGTATAAAATCTTAGGCAACAACAAGAACAGTAACAATGTTACGAAGTCAGGAATGTTTTTTTATTAAGAGGAAGCCAGTGCAAAAATCTTTCAGCAGGAATTTGCTAGCCAAGTTTGAGGATAGCAAGGAAGTTAACAGTGACTGAGGTGTGTGCTGCAGTGGTATGTTCTTAGTTAAATAAATTTTATTTATGCCTGTTATACAAAGTTGTGGTGATCCTAACAGTTTTGATGAGTTCTCGAATGTTTGAAATTACTTGCACATAAATTCGCATACTAAGTGTCTCTTCCAACTACAAACATGTATCACTGGCAACTCCAGACTAAAGCTGGGCAAACACTTTGAGCAGTGTTCAACATGAAATCTTTTGCATATATGAATTGCAGTAAGTGATATAACACCAGCAAAAGAGAGGGAAAAACATAAATGGGGGACACAAAAAACAGTTCTAGATGAAGTATGAGGCTAGAAAGTTTAGCTGTGCCGGTTAACTTTCACGTTAGTGCCTTAACTTGTAAAACCTACTGCGTTTAACTTTAGAAAATCTTTAATGCCTATGCCTATGTGCTACAGACAAGATGAAGAAAACAGTATTTAAAATGATCATGATGATCGATGGTCATTTCCTGCTTGGGTACTGCAGAAGGCTGGTCAGTTTAAACCAGGTGAGCCTAAACAAGAAATGATACTATGATTATCTACAACAGATTCATGTTTCTCATAGAGTTGTTTCTGAAAAATGACTGATGCCCATATAGATTGTATTGCCCAGGTGCCCCTTCAATCACACAAGATTGTGCGATTCATTCTCACCCTCAGAATGAGTTGATGATGTGATACTACTGAGCCAAGCTCATTAAAGCATTGAGCCTTCTCTTCCCTTCCAACCTCCATCATCCAGCTTGAGGTTGGAAACCTTGGGGTGAGTCACAAGATGGAAGGAACCTGAGCCCTGCAGTCACAGTGTGGAAAGCTGCCTGAACCACTACAGACTTATTCAGTGTTGCAGAAATAAATTCTTGTTTTCTTAAGTTAATGAAAGTTTGATGTTGCCTATTATAGTACAGAATATTTAATTGGGCTTTCAAATGCTGAGTACAAATCAAGAAACGGTATCTCTCCTCATAAAATCCACTTGTAAGCATTACATAAAAATTATGATTCCTAACTAGATTAATAAACCTAGTTTGTCTCTGCATACACAAGTATTAATAATATATAGGGGAGACTTATAGCAGCTGCAGAGACTTCAGCAGTGAATTGTCGATCACCAAATGCAGTCCAAGGAAGTACCCCAAGAGATGGGGCCCTCTACTCATCCCATTCACGGGGTAGGTTACAGGTTTGTTGATACCTAATCACAGAAGCAAAATTTTCAAGATGTGTGAGGCATGAAGAGGTGTATTAGGCAAAAAGGACACTCGGGGAAAGCCTAAGCACTCAATTTACAGGCTTATTGTATCTTTGAAACGGAGAGTATTTGGGAGGTTTCCTGGAAAAGGGCAAAGTAACCTTGGGTAACTTTATGTCCTAAAGTTGCAGTTTTTCTTAAAAAGTATAATGTTGCGATTACAATTTTCCTGTCTCCTTTCTACCTACATTTCTTCTAGTCTCGCCCACCGGACTTGACAAAGTTGGGAGGCCCCCACACAACTTTTGAGACTTCTCACTATCTTATTCCCTTTAAGATGACTGCTCCAACTCCCTCTGCCTATCTCCTCAGAACTCTCCTCCCCACTCAGTCAACAGATTCCTTCCCACTCTGCACTAATTCACTTACCAAGGAGGTTAGACTCTCCCAGTCCCTGCAGCATGTACACTAAGCCATTTCTATTGAAGGTAAGCTTTCTGCGGTGTTAATTCATGAGTCACCCACTGAAATCAGAATTCTTGCCTTAATCCTTCATGTAGAGAGAGGTAAAAGCACAAAGCAATAAAAGAAACATCTAAGGGCTGAAGAGGTCTTGGCATAGGGTTCCCCATACTGCAAGAAAACAAAATCAGAATCTGGCTGACCTGATTAAATCCTTGCTAAAACCTAAGTATTTACCCTCTAAACTCATTTCCTGGGGTGCCAAGGGTTGCTTTGAATCCATTGTCAAATGTGCCTTCTGAGAAACTCCTCTCCTTTGAGATGGAGGAATAATTTTCACAACTCAGTAAGCTCAGTGCAGTCAGATGAGCCAGATGTGTGGCAGCAGTAAGAACTCAGCTTCTGTGCCCAAGACCAGAGGCAAACAAATGGGCTTTCAGGCGAGTGTGTACCTAAAACCCTTTCTTCTAAAGTTATACTTTATCAAGTACCTTGAGTTGTTGGGGGGGGGGGCAGGTGGAGGTTGGGTCCAGTAAAGCTTTCCAGTGTTAAAAACAAACAAATGTACATATTGATCCTTCTTTTTGGTATGGGGGTGGGCGGATCGAACTCAGGACCTCAAGCTTGCCATGCAGGCACTGTGCTGCTTAGCTAAATCCCCAGCCCTGTACATGTCAATCTTATCTGGAAAAGCTATCACTTAGCTTTCTAACTCTGAAAAACACAGGTTACAGCACCTGGAACAAGAGTACCATTTACCTTTACAGGCAGTCCAACTGAGCTTGAAAGGAAAATGATCAAATCTAATGTCACCAGGAGCTCAGTAATGAAAAAAGCAGTACTTACAAAGGAGGAGAATGATAACTACAGAGTCCCCATAGTTTAGTCACATTAGAAACAGTGACTTTAAGATCAGTATTTATTGCGCACCTATCATGTGCAAAGCACTCTGCTAGGTGCTGGGGAACATACAAAGATAAATCCGACAGCCTGCCCTCACAGGGCTTACAGTCTAGGTGCAAGGTCTCTGCATATTTTAGGAGTAACCTTTCCCCTCATTCAACCTCCCAAAATACAAGTTTACTAGATTTGGTTTCAATTTCTTTATATATATTCTTCAGGACAAGGTCTCACTTTGTAGTTCAGGCTGGCCTCGCACTATCGCAATCCTCCTGCCTCAGCCTCCTCAGTGGTGGGATTACAGGCATGCACCACCACACGTGACTAGACTTAGTTTCTTCCTTTTACTTTTACTTCAACAGCTTCGCATAAAAACCTTCAATCTGAAAGTCTTTTACTTGTAAACAAAATTTTCATTAGAAAAATGCTGAATATTTATTGCAATTAAAATCCTCATATAGTCAGTATTTTCATGAATTTTTCTGTATTTTTGAAGTAGTTTCCCAGATTGCATCAAAAATATGCAACTTTTTGAAAGTAATCTCTTTAAACTTCTGGCAGTCTCGTGTAATGTACAGGGGCCCTCTGTAAAAGCATGGAAAGCTTCTGAAATGGACAGCTGTGCAGTTACAAAGTTCACAGCTTATGGTTCCCCCTCCCATAAGCCCTTTACATGTTGATTCAAAGTATTTTTAAAAGCCCTCCAGTAACCTATAGCCCTCAAATCCAAAGGTTTACATTTCTTACAACCCAGTTCTTAGGTTAAGTGGCAATCAAACCCACCAAAGTCTAAATTCATTCCTGGAAAGAAAACTCAAAAGGTTCTGTTTCTCTATTTCACTCTTAGGAATTTCTGAAGCCTTTTGTTTTCCTTTCAGCAGAAAGAAACTAAAATATAATCAATTACAGGAATAAAAAATACTAATTCAGCTCTTGTCCAGGCTGCTACAGAAGGGTATGTCGGTGCTACATATTAAAATGAACTCATTTCTAGTGAGCGTCATTTTAGTAAGTGTCTTGCAATTATTCTCTTTTCAGAATTATCTCTGGGCTCAGACATTTCTGGTCACGCTGAGGTTGTTACTAGTCTGAAGACTTGGATCTTTGTAAGGATTTAACAATACTTCTGTAAAAGTTAAGAATATGGTTATCAAACTAAACAGGTCAATTTTTCAAAATGTAGAATCATGGTAGACTAATAAAGCTGTACACACCCAAAAATGAGTTCCTGAGACAGATTCCTTATTCTCATGATGGAGCATACTTATCCTGAGCAATTTCCCTTAGTTAAGTAAAAATGAAAACTTTTATCCACACTGCGCTAATTGAGCCTTCCTACTTCTGTTTCTCACCAAACTACAAAAATATGGCCTTGCTAAATAAACAAACTCCAACTCAAATATCAATATTAATCTCTAGACTAATAGATCCACTTACCATGAAAGTGTAATGAACTATTAAACCACAACTAAGGTCTGCTTAAAAGTGCAGGCTTATCAAAAATGTTTCTTTAATGAGAACACATTCAGTTTTTCTAAGCTATGACACCTGTAGATTTTAAGTTTTCAGATCCAGTGTTTGTACAAATAAAAGAAATTAAATGTAACAAAGTAAATGAAGTAAAAAGTAACAGAAATAAAGTCAGATCCCTAGGAATTATGTATTACGTCTTTCAATCACACTCCTATCTTTATATTTCTAAGGTGCTTTTCTGTTCAATTTCTTTGCTGAACAGATAAAATCTTACAGACAGGTGTGGTTTAAAAGGATCACCACTTAAGTTAACTCGTCCAATTCTGTCATTTTCAGATACAGAAACTGAGACCCTGAAGCTTAATCCAAAGCCTGGAAGCCAAGCCCAGTATAGGATTCATGATACTACATCTTTGACCTTCTTGCCAGTTTGAAAAACTCATATGCACGTGCTTTTATGTGAACCATAAAACCATATACAACAGTTCTCAAAATGAATGTAACTAAGCAGTGATATATTTCACATGAGGTAAATAAAAGAAGTATTAGTCAATTTAAACTGTTCTTATAAAATATTACTAGCCCTTTTGGTTACTGCTGATAGTACAACTGCAGTGTTTCATCTTGCTTTTAAGGGTATTTGCAGTTGCAATCTTTGAGATGCTTATTTGCCCACAAAAGAAAAAAGTTATAAGAAATACGATTAAGTAGCCAATCATATATTATGTATTAATCTCAAAATTACTTTTACATACATTTATATTTTCTTATATTATAATAAAATTAATTTATGCAGTGAATGAGATACTACTACTACCTGAGTTGTTGGCAGCTTCAAAATCAGTCACTTCTACATAGGTAAGAAACCACTTCTAGAAGTGATAGAAAGGGTGTCCAGGTAACAAGAACTACTATGAAAATTGTGAGGGAATTATACTTAGTCTATAAACTGAGGTAAAAGAGAAAGAACAAGCTAGAGAATCAGAAGAGTTTAGTTCATATTTTAACTTCATTCCTTGCTATTTACTTTGGAGCAATTCAATCAACTTCTGGGTTTTACTTTTTTCATCTGCAAAGAGCTAGGATTGGCACTATTTACCTCATTAGGTACTGAGCATAACATAACAACAAAATACATGAGAGGGCTTTGTAAACGGAAAACCACAATGCAAATATTATTACTTCAAAAATTATTAATATGTGGACCAAGAGGAAGCTAGAGATAATTACCACTCAGTAGCACTTGGCATGCTCACAAGAACAAACTTAGAGGGTAAACCATGCAAACATTTTCAACTTTCAATAACAATGCTAAAAAATTATACAAAGGTGTATAAACAAAGGTTTTTAGAAAAAGTACTGAAAGACACACATTTGGTCAACTTGAGATTTTTAACATGAGTGTGAATGATTTACAGCACATAAAGAGGTATTCATTCTTTAAGTGGAGAAAGCTACTAGTCATCTAAGAAAAACAAGTTTCATGGGTATTCCTAAGAAATGAAATACAATTCTAACTCTTCTGCCTTTTTGTAAACCAAGGTTATAACAAATAACTGTATTAATTTTTCCTGTTAGTTAACATACCCTTAGAGATATAAAAGAATTGTCTACATCTAAGTCACATCCAATGTGAACTTTCATAAATGCAAAGCATAAAATTCAGAGTTCTTATGACTCTACAGGCACCTGAAAGTTTTTAACAACCCTTCACGCTCACTTTATATTCCATAAAGAATAATGGAAATACAGGGAATACTTGAAATACATATATTTTTTACAAATCCTTATTATGTAGTTGCCTTATTTTTTTAATACTCCACTCTGGTGACTTTGTTGTTTGTAAAACTGTTTAACCCTTCTCTTCAAATATGTTTTTGACATTCTTACACCAAATAAAAGTAACAACCTCCCCCTAAAAAAAAAAAAAAAAAAAAAAAGGGAAGAGATAAATGAGATATAATTCAGTAAGTATAAAAATATGTTGTTTCAAGTTCAGAATAATTTAATAACTCTTTGTTATTTCATATGTATCTGGAAATGGGACAGATACATGTCCTGATCCTGTCACAAGAGGTAGAATTCCAGCATTTGGTACAACGTTCCAAGATAGGGTCAAAGTGACATTCCTGTTTCCCCTACAAAGAGACAGAAGAAACAGAAGTCAGCAGAAACACCTGTACTTCAATAAAAATATTTTAAATCAACCACTGAGGCATCAAATACCTTATAACTAGCTATTCTTAATGGGAATGCTAATCTGCAAAACGAACTGTTTTCTCCTGTCATCTACAATCAAAGGATACTGCTGAAGACACCAGCATTACATGTACAGCATCCCTTAATGACTCACCTAAACTCACTTACAGTTGTAGTTAATAGAACTATGATCGAAAAAGTTTACATGAGTAATTCAGTGAACATAAAAGAAGACTTGTACTTAGAAACAGAAAACAATGGCTTGAAACCTAATTTTGCCATTATTTAGATGTGCAAATCTAAAATCAAAATCTATCATGGTTTGAAATTTTCATTTGGTAACAGGTTTGGTCTGGTCAAAATAGGTCTCTCCTAAAATCCTTTCTGATACTTACACAACATTAAGAAGTTAACAATTACCTGATTCCTTCTGATTCTCCCATTTTGTAAGGAATAAATTTGCAGTTTAGAAAAGAACCAAACCTCAGTATCAACTCCTGAACCTAATGCACTGCTTTTTCACTCAGATCTGATTTATGTTCAGAAAGAAGAGATTAGGCTCTTGTGAAATACAGAGAAGCTGTAGGCTTTATTATTTTGGCTACTGTATTTCACATACTGAAAAATAACTAATTACTGTACTTATTTTAGATCCCAATTTGTATTTCTTTACAATCTTCCAGTTCAGGTTTACGTAAATACTTCTCTTCCAATTTTCCTTTTAACTTCGTGATATTTTTCTTTGAAATAAAAACACATTACATCTTTCTCTTTCACCTCTTATTAAATGTAGAAAACAACAAAGAATTGCTCACTTGAGACCATTTCCATCATCAAAGAAGAAATATTTTGTTTTCACGTCTTTCAACAGCAGCCTCGGATTATCACCTCTCAGAACAATCTTGTCCCAAAGGACTACTTGGTTCAGGGCCTACATTACAATGAAAAGTAGGTAATTCATTAGAAATTGCATCTTATCACTTCAAATTAAAACATTACTAAGCCCCCCCCCCCATTTACAAAAGCAAGAGAGGGAAGGGGAAAGGGAAAAAAATAAGAACTAAAATATATCATGTACAGGTACAAATTCCCAATGGTGAATGTGATCATAATGTAAACTTGAAATGTACCAATAAAGTTAACTTTAAAAAAAGTTACTAAGCAAAAAGTTTCACATGGGTGAATCCAACTTTGATAACTTACTAACATCTTGTTGCATACAAAATGATAGCAGGCAGATATAGAGACTGGGCAAAGTTTTCTTGGAGAGAATATTTCCCTAAAAAAATCATTCCTTTTGTTAAGTGAACTCTTTGACACAAGGGAAGGAAATAGATAAATAAGATATTCATTAAATATAAAAAGAGCATTCTTTTGCTACAAGTCAACTCTATTACACAGGATCCCCATAACTTACCAGAAAGTTTTACATCTACATGTATGAGACTCTTGGAGGAGCAGAGGGATTAGAATCCATAACAGGGAAGTATTCTTTGAAGTCCCTTTTCCCTGTAAAACTTCTAATATTCTCTATCTCAGAGAGAACCCTGGGGGATGCTGGGAAAACAGTGAGCCAGTCCCTGAACAGAATTATTAAGACTGAAGAGTCCAGAATCAAAGATGTGTTGAAATTAAATGGGTTTTATGTATATCCATTTTCACCAAAGAATAATGTGTCAAATGCCAAATTAGAATTAACTTACTAGCTACACCAGGGTAAACCAGAATTATAAATATAATGTAGATATACTCATCATAAATATGGCATTTATTTCAGTAATTTGTTGAAATCAGTAGAATAATATTTTCACATGTAGTTGTACTCTTCAAGAATAGCTTTTTGTTTCTTTTAACGCTTTGTCTATTCTGAAGAGCAGGGATGAAAACTTACATATAATATTTCCAGTGCCTAATAATATATCTGGCATAAAATTTATGTTCCAAATCAATGTGTAGTGAAGTGCTAAAATTTCTAATAAATACATAAAACTGATCATGTTAGCCTTTGGAAACAGTTCAAATAATTGCAGGCCCACCCTTAACTACAAATATATTGATGACAGAGTAATCTGAGTAACATAACATATAAGCAGCATGTTAAATTCACATTTTTCACTTTCATATTTTAAGTCTATCACTTTTTATGTGCAGTACCAAGACTAAAATAGAATCTAAGTATTCCACAAAAATATCTCAATATGTATAGTACTCTACCTGCAGCAAAAGCTCTTAAGTCATACTTGACCAACAGCTTTCAATCATAAATTGTTTTAATAAGCTGTAATCTAACAATAGCTTTTAATTATAAAACTTATGACCTGTAATTTGTAATTTAAAAGAGCAGTTCAAGTAGTTAAGAGTTGCGAATATGACACTTAAAATATTCCACGATAAGCAGAGATATTAGTTGTAGATATATGACTTAAAACCATGAAGACAGTGAGATGTCAATTACTTTTCAAGAAAAATATTTGGCATTAAGATGGATTCTACAATAATCTGTGATGATACAAAAAAATCTTAATAATCCTTTATAGTTTCTGATTGCCTATTGCTGTAATGAGCTTTAACACAGGTCTCAAATTTTGTTAACTCAATTATGTTAAGAAGTAGCTTTCTAATTATAACTGTAGAAAGAGAATATTTTAACTCAGAGTACTGAACTGAGAAGCAATACTACCTCCTAATTACACAGGAAACACAAATTCTACCAACATCTTTCCTGGTCTTACCACTGCAAGAATCTTTGAGCACAAAATATTTTGAATACAAACTCTAAAAATATGCAATTCTGTTTATCAAAGTACATACATAGTAAACATTTACTATTTATTATATAGTATCAATAGTGAATGTGAATTTCAAATTCAAATAGTCTTAACCAATGTTGAATTTTCTCATCCAACTTATTAGACTACATTATTTGTGTTTTTAGTTTTTAACATTAACTTAGCAGCTGGAAAGAATAGGTGTCTCCAATCTATCATTTTCTTGTTGTTTACATATGCCTGAAACTAATATTAGCATTATCTTCAATCTATAATTTCTTTGCTAGAATCTTTTAAATCTATCTTTCATTTTTGTGCTGTTTAAAACAAGGCAATATAGTCCACTTACATACTGCATATACTACAATATTTTGTAAAATGCTGAATGTGAAAATGAATGAATAAATGTTAGGCAGCATGGTCAACCTGTAGGCTTACAGAATTCTCCTTCTTCTTTTAGAATTATTTGCATATCACAGAAGGCATTTGACTATCTAACTTAATAACTAAACACAAGTATTAATGTGTTCATTTATAAAGTATTGGTAAAGCTTAAATTCTTTCCCTTTTAATTTTAAATTGAAAATACACTAATAGAAACTCAAAACCTCGAACTGTTTTCTTTATATACCTGTGGATGGCTCTGCATATGTACCATTCTGGAAACCACAAAGCTACTGAAGCATTAAACACAGGAACAAAACAACAGAGAGGCTACCAAAGGAGATAAACAGAGCTACCTCTCTGTAACTTTCATTTTCTTACTAAGCAATTCAGGGCAGATTTTTTTGACTATGTAACATTTACACTCATAAAGAATAATGTTTTAAAAACTGTTAAAATATGCTTATATATATATGTACTTACATTATTTTTTGTTGAATATTCTGCTGATAAATAAAGAAACAACTGCTTAACATTCCAATCAAATATATTCTCTAGATGTACACAAATTAAGGAATAAATTATAAAGCAGCACACATCTGGTAAACAGATTTTAGTTATTCTTAGATTAATTATCCACAGCAATGGAGATGGTCTAGAAACATACTGAGACACTATTTAATAAAACAACTACAGAAGATAAATAAATAGAAAAATCCAGTCCATTTCAAAAGACAAATTAAGAAAAGATTAGATCTACTACTAGGTATGCAAGGTTTACAGGCTGAAATATTTTAATAAGAAAATAATAAAGAAAACCAAAATCTAATTTAATGCAGCACCAACCCACCAGGTCCAAAATAAAGAGGATTTAATATTCAAGCATGTATCATTCCATTGGAGCTGTAAAGTACTACCGATCATTAATATTAAAATCTAATAATATGCAAACATGAACTAGGTTCAAGTAATTAACCGAATATAAATTTATACTAAGTTGTTTTGGTTATTATGCAAGTAGAGATCAAAACATCTCTATACCTTAATTGCACAGAATGCAGAGCACTCTAGAATTAACTACAAGACTGATGCCACTAAGGAGAAATGAGCTGAACTGATATTTGGATCTATTACGTATTATATGTAAAGTGCTGTCATTTTATTATGTACATTTACAAGCTAATAGCAACAAGTTACATTACACTTTTAAATATGTATAATCTTTACGAATGACTTATTTAGAATTGAGACCTCTAAGACAGTTCTTTGAAAGAACAATTTAAAGGATTAGTAGCATTAAGAAAATCTGAATAAACTACAAATAATGAGAATGATAATATATAAATATGGTAGTCAAGATATTAGTATTACTTTTATGCTAGATATGAACTCCTCTTGAGCAATTTCTTTAAATGACATGACTTAAAAGTATACACACAGTTTAGCTTAAGACTTTTCTGATGGCACACTCTAGCTCCTAAAAAGGTGCCTTCAGAACTTATCTCTAGTTTACTTCTAAATCAGTAATTTATTCCTGAAAAATTACAAGTAATTTCATAAGCACAGAAGAACAGCAGGTAAACTTCCCAGGCGTATGATTTGCTTTAACTGTTCAGACAGTTGGTTTATATACAAATTCAGACTGCTCACCCTACATAACCATCTTTAATCAGAGTCAGAGAAAGGGAAGTGCTATTAGGCCAAACATGGCAATGAACACTAGTGACAAGATATTAACCTATGACCCTAAAGTTTAAGTAGTCAAAATGATCAGTTGATCAAAAGATAGAAATTCAAGATAAAGAGAAAACATTTAAATCATTTCCATTAAAGTAATTCTTTTCCTTAAGATTTCTATGACTCTTGTAAAAGTTCTTATAAAAAAGAATTACGACAAAATCCTAGCATAGTTTAACAATAATTATTTTGATACTGGCCTTTCAAACTATTACAAATGCAATTAACTTTTTAAACATACATTTCTCTCTACTATGAAAACATATGGATTCTTTGGGACTGTACATTAAATACTTCTAGGCAGGATGAGCTTTGGTAACATTTTCCTTCTTTCCTCCAAATGAGCTAATTGTTTTTGTGTTTTTGCTAAACACATTTAAACTTCCTTGGGTAGATTTCAATCAATTTAATGTTTCCATGAAGAATTTAAAGTGCATTCACACAACTGACTCATGAATTTATTAAGTTTTCTCTAAGAATAAATGTGGAACTATTAACACTATTGATGAAAATTTAAGTACAAGAATTTCCAAAGTTTTGTTGATTCAACGTGAGATAGTCATAGACCCTGTTCTCCAAATCATTAAATAACATGAATCTCACTTACAAAACCATAGAAAAAGCATAAAATAATCTTAAAGGATATCCACACTTATATCAAATGTAATGAATCCCAGATCACTTCTTTCTCTAGGTCCAGTGAAGTCTTCTACATTTTTTCTAGAAGTAAAGATAAAAATTTTACCATCCTTCATGTATAACATCATAGGAAATTCATATAAATAAAGTGAAGAACTGGATCTAGTTGTCTGCACAGGTGAAACAGCATTTCCACAAAGACACAAGTAAAACCAGAGAAATATCAAGTACAAAAACAGGGTAAACATTCTAATTCAATATAAAAGGTCTTCAGCTATTTTCATACAACTTAAGTGACTAACAGGACGGAGGGGAAGATACAGACTGCTGAAAAAAAAAAAGAATACTTGATGTATAACAAGTATGGGTAGAGGTACATATGACAAGATGGTGTAGAAAATGAGTGACAGCTGCTTATTTTACTGAGTGCTTAGCAGCTAGAATTTTTCACAACTGTTTCAAAATAAGTGTGCCACTTAGATATTTCATTTTAAACAAAAGAAAATTAAGGCCCAGAACAGTAAGAAACTTGCTCGAGATAACATCTAGCATCTGTGCAGAGTTCAAAATGCACCAAACTAAGCCCCACTAGAGCTCAGAGTGGTACCACTGATCTCCACCCTAGGTCTACTTAAATTTCAAATAGTATCTAACAAAAATCGGTAAGACAGAAAGAAAGAAAGAAAGAAAGAAAGAAAGAAAGAAAGAAAGAAAGAAAGAAGGAAGGAAGGAAGGAAGGAAGGAAGGAAGGAAGGAAGGAAGGAAGGGAGAGAGAGAGAGGGAACAGGTGGGGAAGTCCCTATTACATGACTGGTTTATAGGAGATTCTGACAACCTAAGGTCAGAGGCAGATCTTGTTGGAACATGGAAGAGCAAATGGGTGTTAAGATCAGAAAGTGCTACAAATCAGACAAAAGTGTCAGAGAATGAAAAGCAAAGATCATATTAAAAACAGGCAATAGCGAAATGACAAGCATTCCGAAATTCCATTTTTGGCGTCGTAAAGATTTATTCAAGCTGTTGACTCAAAAACAATAAATAAAATTTAAAAACACAAGAAAATGCCGTGACAGAAGGCTAAGATGTTTAAAATTCACTAAGCGCATCCTAACAGGATCTCTAGCCTCTCTTCCGAGCAGCTGCAAGGACTCACTGCGCTGCGAAGGTGGGAAGACAACTGCAAAGGGCGCGTCAAACAGGGAAGCCCGGGTCATAAACCACACAAAAGCGACCACCACGTTGCCGTGGCCGTGGCCGCGGCCGCGACCCCCTTCTCGGCGGGGCCGAGAGCCGGCGGCGGGAGGGTTTGCTGCTGTGTTGCTCCCTCATTGGCCGCGCCGGGAGGGAAGTGAGGAACAGGAAGCGACCTGAGGCTCCGACCCGAGCAGCACTCAGAGTTCAACTGAAGAGCAAGCCCGGGAAGTGCGGCGCGGCGCGGCGCGGGGCGCGTCCCGAGGGGAAGCCCTCAGCTCGCACGCCTGCCCGCGACGCGGGCCGCTAGGGGCCGGGGCCCTGGGGAGCGCGGACGCCCCGTCCCGAGGGCCGGCCCCGCCGCCCGGCCCAGCCGCACTCACAGCATGATTCGTGAGACGTGCAGCCGCACAGGGACGCTCCTGTCTTTGAAGGCTGTGGTGATGAAGCAGCCAAAGGTGAGCGCCGCCATCACGCTCAGCGAGAAGGCGAACAGGGAGTTCGCCCGCGACAGCACCGTATTCATCGCGACCGTCTCTCACCAGCCCTGTCTCCACACAGGCCCCGGGCTCGCGTTCTGGCGGAGGATCGGCTCCCTCGGATCCGCGCCGCCTGCCTTGCGCACGTTTCGGGAGCGCGCGCCGCCGCGGCCCCGCCTCCTTTCCGGTCCTCCGGCGCGCGCGCGCCCGCCAACCGGGACACGCCCACCGCCCGGGTAGCTCCTTGTGGAACTGCTCGACTGGGCGGCGAGCCCGCCCCTCCGTCCGCGGCCTGGAGCCATAGCCAATCAGCGACGAGAGTGTGAGGGGCGTGGTTTCTTCGGGGAGACCCGCCTCCTCCATTTCTTGCTTCCCCTCCTTCCGCCTACGAGTTTCAACTGGAGAGGGTCGGTTGCCCACGCCCAGCACTGGGTTTCTAGTTTGGAGGTTTGGACTATGGATTCTTGATTTTTATGGGCCATTCGTTTTTTGTTAAAAGCTAGCAAGACAAGGTGTTTTGGAGCCTGACCTGATGTGTCGTGTTTGGAAGTGGTACGTTGCAAAACTACTGGATCTCTGTTTCCCTTATCAACCCTCCTCAAAGTTAGAATTTAAGCTTTTTCGGAGGATCTGGGGAGAAGGAGAAAAATGAGGCCTCCCAGGTTCCTAAAAAAAGTCACACGTCCCAGCATTCTGTGCCTTTATGTCCACTTCCAGCGTTAGTCCAGTTCCTGTTAATGCTTTACTTTCTACAGAGTAAAGCCGTTTTAGAAGATAAAAGTTGATGTTACCTATCTAAATACTTGCATATTCGAAAATGAAAGGATAACCTCCCAAAGCTCTTAGAATCTAAGGCGATAATTGTGGAATTGCTGTATAGCTCCACATACAAAGAATCTAAAGTCTATAAGCTATCAGTAAATATGAAATTAATTTATCATATGCTCGATAACCTGATAGTCTCTGGGTTCTGACTCTACCAATTCCTGACCTTGAATACAGTCTACCAACACTTTTGTTCCTTTCATAGCTAAGGGTCTTTTGTAATTATAAAAATGGGATTCAGAGGCTCCAGTAATCTGCTAAAGTTAATTTTTAAAAAAATTTTGCATCTATAAACCAAACTAGGTAAAGATGATGTTATAGAATATGATGGGTGTAAACCAGAAGCTAATGATCTGACCCTGATCCTGGCTTATATTATGTGTTGTTCAGCCTTTGCTTCTTTCGTATCATTCATTGTCAATTAATTTTCTTCCAGAGTTACAGGTAGGGTTATTACTAATTGTTTAACGTGTCCCAGGAATAGTTCTGGGCCTTGAAAATACAGCACTAATAAGACAGATCCCTGCTCAGATGCAATAGAGCCAAGAATGAAAAGTGGATTAATTATATACAGAAATGTCATTAGTTAAGTATAAAACCTTAATTTTTATTAAGCCACACTTTTTTTCAATAAAGCAGTTATCTATTGAATGCTTACTATGCTGTGACATGGAGATATGAACTAATCACTTTCTGTTCTCATGAAGCTTATAATCAGGTGAAGTTAAAGTAAAATCAGGAATCAAATATAAAACTATAAATATCAAGGGAAGTTACACAATGCTAGGACTTCAAGTGAAAAAGAAACCACATCTGTGTGAATGTTGGACAAAGCAGCAGAAGCAAAATATTTAACACAATGCCTAAACAATATACATTATTATTCTTATTATAGGATAACTGTCTAGGGTAGATACTCCGAAGTATACTGAGCTGGAAATACATCTAAGAGATACCCAGTACCCAGCTAGACAATGTATAATTAAAGGATTAGCAGCGGTAAATGTGGAAAGGTAAATCAAGGGAATATTGTAGAAACTAGGTCACAAAGTTAGACTTTATATCAAGGAAATTACATACGAAGCACTACACAGGCAGCGGTCTATCAAGTGTATGAGCAACTGAGGATGATGGCAGTGGGACAGAAAAAAAACTTGTTAGGATGGACCTTTCAGAGTCAGAATGTACATGACTTTTGCAAAATATAAAGTGAAAGTAGATTGTGAAAGCACAACTGAAATTATTGTTAGCAGAGTAAAGTTTTGAATGTTAGTAACCAGGAGGAATAAAATTGCAAGGTCTACTAAATAAACAAGTCAGTGATGGGATTGGGCATTCTCTTAACTCTGCTGTATTTTTTCCAAATATTTCTTTGCATTTTCTAGATATTTAATCGTATCATCTACATTAGGCATTTTTTGCCTCTTTCTCATTATTGTATTTCTGATTGTGTTTTAATTTCAGTGGCTAACATTTTCAACATCGTCATAATATTTAATAATACCAGGGACAATCATCTTTGTCTTATTCTTGATTTGAGCAGGAATGTTCAATTCATTTCTTGAATATGTAAGATGCTGGTTTTGAGGTGGAAATGTGTGTGTGCACGTGTGCATGTGTATCATTGTATAATATAAAGTGGATGTTGATATTAAGAAAGTATCCATTCATATTTAATTGATACGTTTTGTATTTCTACTTTCACAGAGTTGTTTAATTTATGCATGTGTGAAAATTTCCAGGAGGCTGAATCTTTTTCCTTTTGATTGTTCTAAATTAATTTCTGATTTTATTTAGGCAAAGAATGCTGTTTGTGTTAGTTCTATTCTTTGGATTATCAAGTTCTTCTTTGTGTTCTGAAAAATCACTTTGTGACTACTGTAGTTTCCCAGTTATCCATGGAAGATAGATGCCAGGACCTTCAGGGGCTGGCTGAAACCACAGATAGTACCAAACCCCATACATGCTATGTATTTTTCTGTATATACATGTGATAAAGTTTAATTTATAAATTATAAAAATCAACATTAATAACTAATAAAATAGAACAATCATAACATTCTATAAGTATTTATTATATTCATAATAAAAATTATGTGAATGTGGTCTCTTTTCCTTTTTTTCTTTTTTTGGTACTTTGATCCTTTCACTTAAATGAGGCACTTTGCAGTTTCTTTCTGGAATACCCAAATTGCCAGCCTTTATTAATTAAAATAAAGGAAACTTGAATGCAAGCACCAGGATACCATGACAGCTGATCTGATAACTAGATGGCTAGTGAGTGGCTAATGAGTAAATAGCATATACACAGTGGATAGACTGGAAAAACTATGATTCATGTCTTGAGCAAGAGGGAATGGGACAGCATGAGATTTCATCACATTATGTAGAATGGAATATAATTTTTAAACAAATTGTTTATTTCAAGAATTTTCTATTTTAAGATTTTCAGGTCTTGGTTGACCAGAGGTAACTAAAACCAAGAAAAGAGAAATTGTAAATTGGAAGGTAGGGGGACAGTTTTCAATGTGCATTTGAAAAGCAATGTATTTTCTGTTAATTGCATATAGAATTTGCTTTGTATTTATGAGTTCTGCTTTAATGTGTAATTTATATCTATTATATCTAGTAATTTTTTATAATCTTGATTGTCTTGGGTTATAAGAGATGTGTTTTATTCTCTAATATTAATGTGTATTGTCTTTTTCTCTGCATCTCCTGTGATCTGCTTTATAAAAATTATTAAATAATTGTTAAGCAAATAAATATTAGTAACATCCATTATGAATGGTTCATTTTTTTAAATAAATTCTAACTTACTGTATATCAAGATTTCACAGAAGGAAATTAAGACTATGATTTATCTGTAATAATACCCCAGACCTCAAAATTTAGAACTTTTAAATTAAATATCCTATATATTTTGATAATTTCTACTCAGAACCTTGTGGCAATACTGTAATGAGAGGAGCAATCACTATGCTTTGTCAGTACTTTAAAAAGTAGGGCATGGTCACATGGGAAACATATGTCTACCTATATATTTGAAGGATAGGAAGAAACCTAAAATACAGGTACAGTTTTGTCTTACTTGTAAATAACTATTTTTCTATAATACCCAGCTAAGGGAAGGAGGCAGAATAAGTCATTTTATAAGGAAACACTTTAAATAAAGCTCTGTCCAAGCGGACAGCTAAGCTGCTTTAAAAAGAGAAAAGCATTCCAATCAAATATATTGTTGCTAAGGATATCTAAAGAGCCCAGGAAGCACTGCACAATGAAAAGGACGTTCTTGGAATGGAGCATGTGTTAAGTCTGGTACATTAAGGACCAAATTATACTGTCCATCTGAGAGTTGGTGTGATGACTTATAAAGTTTCCCATCTCTTTCAGTGCCCAGGACACTGAACTTTGCACATTATAGATGTTCAAAAAAAAAAAGTTATTGAATTGAAATACCCTTGAATCCATAGACCATAATATTTTTAAAGAAATTCCTATGTAAAAAATGCATGTCATGCACAGGTAACAAATATTTTAAAGTGTAAGTTGGTTATATGCTAAAGTAGAAAGCTAAATTGGATATGTATGCCAAACACAAAGTATAGGAAGTTTGAATGCCTGGCTAGTAAGTGTGAACATGTTATGGCTTGTATATAGATGTTCCTCCAAAGCCTCATGAAGCTATAGATGGGGATTTTTGGAGGTGACTGGATCTACAGTGTGTGATGCTGGGATTGAGGGTGTGATGCTTGGATTAAGGGTGCATGATACTAAGTTAGTCCAATGATTGGTTTAGCCTAGTTCTGGGTGTGAATAATGGGAAAGCCATTGGGTGGCACCACACAAAAAGGAGAGTAGCTTGGAAAGGATAAAAGGGAGAGAAGCTGCTGCTTGCTGCTCCCTGCCTTCTACCTGCCACACCATGGACTGTTCTTCTTCTGTGATACCCCTCTGCCATGTCACCCTACTTTGGAGACAGCCAAGTATGAACTGAAACCTCTACAAACTATGAGCTGAAATAAACCTTTCCTTCTTTAAATTTGGGTGTCAGGTATTTTGTCTCAGCAACAAGAAAAGTAACCAAGACAACATCATTCTGGAGACAAAAACCCTTGAGATTTTTAGGTCACTTGAATGTCATAACCATGTAGCCTCTAAATAGGTAAATAATTTCATAAGAAGGGATAAAACTGTCAACTGGTAAACCAGATGAGAAATTATTGCAGTGGATTTTGGTGCAGGTAGCAATAGTGGGTGCAATAGTGGGATTTTTGTTTGTTTTGTTTTTAAGATATTTGCTTGGTTAGTTAAAACACGTAATCACTCAAGACTTGTAAATAGACTATACCAACTAATTTTAGAAGTTCTATGCTTGTGAATCTCTTTAAAGAGAGAAGTCAGAAAAAAAAACAGTTAAACAGAAGGCAAAACATTTTTCTGGATAGCCTATACCAAAACTCCACAGTACCAGAGGGAGAGAAGGCTTTGGGCATAAAAAACATTGTTTCTATGTTTTAGGCCCCATGAGCCATTCTTACCACTTTAGGGGATGGTTTATCAACCAAGTTCCCATATGCTCCAGGGGCCAACCTCACAAGCGAACCTTTCTAGGGATAGAAGTCTCAGGCCCGTTGTAGTTTACAAATGTTGCTTTCAGATCATTTCTTTTTTTTTTAGTACTGGGGATCAAACTTGGGACCTTGCACTTGTAAGGCAGGTGGCAGAACCATTGAGCTAAATTGCTGGCCCTCGGATCATTTATTTCTTTTAAAAATTTCTCCAGGAATGATTCTTATGACACATAAGGAAATTTAAGAATATAATTTTTGTTATAGTGTATTTCCTTCATTTATTTTCTTTTGCTTATAGTAAATTGCCTATTTGGCCCAGAACCCTTCAAATAGAAGCTTAAAGAAGCCCACTGTCAGCCAGAGGTCCCTTTCTATAATATTTTATCAAGAAGTTTATATTTTATACTTTCATCCTTCCGTCATGTCACTTTTACAACTTGATTTTGCACTGTGCTTCTTATTCTTTTCTCAGGTCCTCTTTTCTCAGACTTGCTTTTTGAAAAGAATCATAATTTTCATATTCAGTATGTCTTAAAGATTTCTACAAAGCCTAGGAAAACTAACCCCGTTCTATTGTGTAAGTGGAGTCATTTTTATTATTTTTGTTTTAATCCTAATTCCTACTAATATAAAGTCAATCTTTTGTTCAGGTTGCTATACTCACTCCTTCTTAACCAGTGAGCAACATCATGGCATCATCAGCTTATGTGTCATCTGCAAAGGAAAAAAATCAAGCAAAATCTGTTATACTCAGGTATATTTTTTGTATGAATCTATTGCCACTTTCATGTTCTGTATTTATGTAGTGAAAATAATTTACATTACTATATTGTGTAAGGTTAGAAAACCATGTATGTACACTTTAATTACTAAGAATAAATAACAAAATCACTAATCTATAAGTAATTTTATTATTTGGTAACTTTGTGGAGGGACAGAATCCTGCTATGTAGTTCAGGCTAGCCTTGAATTTACTGTGTAGTCTGGGCTGGCCTCAAACTCATAATAATCCTCCTGCCTCAGCTTTCCAAGTGCTGGGATTATATGTGTGTACCACCGCAACCAGCTTATTACTTGATAAGTTTAAAACAAAGTATAAAAATATCTGATTTCTTCAGTCTTTCTTTGAAAGGTCTCTTCTAGGAAGAAAAGTTGTTTTAAAACAATTTGTTAGATTTTTAGCTTCTGGGTACTAGAGTGCACTTCTGTGAATCACTCTTATACATCGATAAATCCTTGTATTTCAAGAAAATGTAAAATATTTAAATGATGTGAATATACTATTTAAATTCTTGAAACAAATTCTGTTTGGGTTGTTTATACTCATGTGTCTATTGTAGGAGTCAGTTATAAGGTAGGTGATAGTCTAGGAATGAGAGGAGAAGAAAAGAACTTGTGGCCTGATATGAGATCTGCTAATAGATATCAAAAAAAAAAAAAAAAAACCTCTTGCTGTGTGCACTGATGTTACCATGCAGGCAGGCAAGACTGAGTGCCCAAGTCATGCAAGAACTGCTGATTCAGGCAACAATCAGCCTATGAGGTCTGAGTTAAACATGAACTGAGAGAGTATGTGCATCTATGTTGTTCCTTTGTATAAGACATGATTTACTTGTTGGCATACTTAGCATATAGTCAATTTTGTGAAAGTTCTAGAAGAGATTCACAGTGATTCCAAAACATATGATGATCCCTAGAAGGAAGTGACCGATTTCTTCATTATTTTTTCAAGTAAAGATAAAGAATTAACCTTTAGTTAACTGACAAACTAAATTTCTTCATTTTTTCCATTGAGCTTTTTGATATAAATGTAGATACAAATAGAGATTACATGACACTTGCACAGGCAACACTTGCACAAAATCTCTCATTTCACACCTTAAAGGAACCTTAACATTCTTTTTTGAAGCTTAGAATCCTTATTTCTCGAGGCAAGAATTGTTTCTTCTGTTTCTTCTGTTCTTTCTGTTCTGTTTATAACATTTTAAGTTATTTAAGATTGGGAGAAAATTGTTAAAATAAAACATGTTGAAAATGGAGATCTGAGAATATATTTGACTGTGATTGTAAGAGAATAATCCAGGGTTGAGAAATTTATAATAGAGGCAATATTCAGCCATTAGGAAGATGCATGGTAATGAATAAGGTACATCCATATAGGCTATCAAATATTAGCAGGTATTCATGGCAAGACTCCAGCATTGGATAATTTGGCTAAATTTTGAAGTAGAGACCAGGAAATATTCTCAATCCTATATAAGTGGGGATGATGGGATGGTTAGAAGTATGATATGGCAACAAAACAATGTGTGGGTTGCATCCCCAAGAGCTCACATGATTAGGAGTGCTATCAGCAGAGAAGTCTCAGTCTCCAGTGTTTGGGAGAATGTTGCTCCAGCACTGTAGTGTGATACAAGAGACTGTGAGAACTAAGTCACCACAGTCCCCACCGGAGACTCCGTTCCCCAGTAGTGCAGACTCCAGCAGCCCAGGGCCCCGCTGGACCATGTGGCGTGGATGCCTTGCTGCACTGCACATCTGAATCCACATAGCAGAGGTGCCAGGGGGAACATAAAGGCCATGTTTATGAGCCCAGAAGATAGAGCAGAAGTGAACAATAGAGAGGGCCTTTCTGATGTTCCTCAATGAAAATTGAAGTCCATGGGGAAAGTGAAGAAAAACTCTTCAATAAAAGCACAATGGACTATTGTGGTTGGTAAATTGGTGGAAACAGCACTTCCCATAGAAACCTGGACTTGCATAGTGAGGAGGACAGCTGGAACCTAACTAACTGATAAAAAAAAAAGCTACACCTCAACATATAATAGTCAAGATCCCAGAAATGCAACAGAAGAACAAAATCCTACAAGCAGTTAGAGAAAAGAAACAAATCACATACAA